GTATGCTAAGCACATTCTCTATGTCGAACCCTACAGTAGCCCAGCACTCCTTATTAAAATAAAGAGCTTGGAACTCTATCATGTTAGCGGGGCCAAGATGGTAGCCAAGGAGTGAGAGATGACCAGATCTCAAATTTCCCCTGGGGCTTCCTCATCTGGATTCCCACAGCCAGGGCCTAATAGACCTCCACTAGTGTTCTGGACCCAGCCCCACCCACTAACTCCCTCACAGACGATAAAGCAGGCTGAGAGGACACAAACACAGGGTTCGGAGCAGAGTGGGAGGGCCAAGTTTCTGAACAGGCTGCTATAAGCTTCATCCGCTCATCGGGCTGACTCACTTCCACAGGCACCTTGCTGTGCCCTGCTCCTTAGATCCTAGCTGGCCAAACTATCACCCACCACTTAAGAGTTCAGTTACCTCCACCCCAGACAGACCTCCAACCTGAAGCTCCTCAAGCCTCCATTGAGTTCCAGTTTCTATTAGAATGATGCTTCTTCAGAAACAAATGCCTCTTCTGAAAGCAACCTGGTGCCTGTCCCTCCTACTTACACTGCAGCTACACAGCATCCTCAAATCCAGACTAATCACGCATCTGGCAGGGGTGGAGGGCCCTCCCAGCGGTTCACCTCAGCTACTACAGAAGTGTGCAAACCAGTTAGCCTCAGAAGCCTTCTTCCAGACAAAAGGCTAAGACCTCAACTGGGTTAAAGAACCCTGAGGCATAATGATTACAGTTGAAACAAGAAGGGTCCAAGCTGCCAGCCACAGGATACACCTCAGCACAGCCTTTAGTTCCCTCCCACCCCAGAGCAGTGTGAGAAGTAAGCCCCTGTTAGATCAACCCCAGTCAATACAGCTGTCCCAGGACTTGGCCTTCATGGTCCCCCTCCAAGGAAACCATCTTTTCTGGCAACTCCTCCTACAGCTCTCTTTCCAACACTATAGTGAAAGAACCATGACTGATGTCTGGGGCTGCCTACCACCAGCCATTGCGTGAATAAGACCCTGTTTCCTTAAGCTTGGGAAAAGATGCTTAAGCAATTTTTTTTTTTTTTTTTTTAAAAAAAAACAAGATCCTTCCTCTGGAAACTCCTGGATATAAAAGACCCTAGAAGGGGTTTATGGAAAATATTCTAGACCTTGCTGAAGGGGAGTTAATCATGGGGTAGGGTAGTAAGGTAGCTTGGTCAGTCTAATCCCTTCAATGATCCCGATCATCGACTACTCATGTCCCCAGTCATGAGCCACAGCCCATGCTAGGGACCTTTCATACACAATACCATACACAGGATTCTCACTTTCACCATTCAGTCCTGGAGGCCGCATGTGCCCAAAGTCTTCCTTGGACACGTAAAAAGACTAGTTCTAACCTGAGGTGAATTTTGGTGGCGGGGGAGGTCTTTGCCCATTGCTCTAGGCTCATACTTGAACATATCTCTTCTGTAGTCTTGTAATTTTAAGGAATGGTCTCCGCCTCCCTTGCACTTCAATGAAGCACCATGGCCATGCTGGGACATCTACATACACAGATGGTCACATGGTACCCAGGCAGCCCTTTCACAGACTGTCCCAGAGTGTTCAGCCTGGGGATTCCTAATAGTATTTTTGAAGGCAGAAATTCCAGCACCTGGCGGTGGCAGCACACATCTTTAACCCTAGCACTGAGGAGGCAGAGGCACGCGAATCTGAGTTGGAAGTCAGCCTGGACTACATAGCAAGTTCCAAGACAGCCAGAGCTGCACAGGGAAAACCTTTCTCAAAAAAACAAACAAACAAATAAAACAAAAAGGAAAATTCCAGCTTCTACAGCTGAGTCTGGCACGTTGCCAAGCTGAGAAAGGCTGGCCAGAGCGCCAGAGGCTGTCATGCAGAACACAAAGACGGGTTACAGCTATTCCTTCCAGAAACCAGAGGAGCCTGAAAAACACTCCTCTTTGGGCTTCTTGCAGTGACCCCTAGGTCCTTTGCTGTCCCATGAGACTAATGCCCCAGGGGTTAGGCACATGTGCAATTGCCAGGACAGCAGCTGCTTTCCACCTCCCAACTCAAAGCTCTCTGAGACCCACACACCTCCTACTCCCCTCATCCCACCCACACACACTCCCCTCAGCCTCTGGGGCAGCAGGTGAGATTGCCAAGACAATCAACCCTCCCTTTATCTGGCAGCAAAACCATCCCTCATGAAGAACGCTGATGGCTGCCGTCATTTCATCTGAGAACATTCACAGCAATCCCAAATCCAGAGAAAGAAAGTGAGAGTAAGAGGGAAGAGAGAGGTGTGTGTGTGTGTGTGTGTGTGTGTGTGTGTACACAAAGTCAACAGCAGCCAGTTGTTGAGCTGGGAGAGTCACAAGTGCTGGTGTCTCACTAGTAACCTAAGTGACCTGACTCTGTTCTGTCCCCTGTGCTGAGGACTGCACTTATGGCCACCCAGCCTCTTCCTCATCTCCCCCTCAACTTAGTTTCCTAGGACCCAAAGCCAGGCTAAGCACAAGAAAGGGACGGCCCTCACCCTGCCCCAAACCCCTGGTTTTTGTCTCTGACAGCACCCCAGGAAAACAGAGCCTCGAACACAGCTGACAGGCTCCCGCAGGAGGAGGAAGGGCTTTCATCAAAGAGATGACGTCAAAACCAGCCAACCTGTGAAGCAGTCAGGGGCCGGGAAATTTGGACAAAGGTATCTAAAAATAAACCCCTGAAGCCAGGAAAAAGCTTTGGTGGCCGAGTCGCTTGCCACCAAACCACACGCCACACACCCTGTTCCGAGGTCTGGAACCCAGGAAATATCTTCCTGAGGATGGTCCTCCAGATTAGCCATCAAGACCAAAGACGACATAGATAAAAGGAGATGGCAAACACGGTACACCAGTCCTCCCTTGAGGTGCCATGCAGAGCAGGCCTAGGACATTGGTGTCTCACTTCCTGCCATCAAACCAACCCATTTTCCCACCTCCTACCCCTGGGCTCAGGGAAGCACAACCTCTCTCGCAGTGCTCCAGGCCACCATCTCCCAGCTCACAAAGGAAAAACTTGCCCTTCTCTTCCCTAGCCTCTTCCCTACCTCTGATGACAGACATCACCGCCACTTAGCCATTTCCACACCTCATGCAGATGTCGAGCAGTTCCACTGTTAGCCCACAGAACCGGTTTTACCCCAAACCAGGTACCTCTTTTAGACTCCTACAGTTCAATAGAAAGCAACACTATGCTTTCAACTACCTTAAAAAAAGGACACGGGCCGGGCGGTGGTGGCACGCGCCTTTAATCCCAGCACTCAGGAGGCAGAGGCAGAGGCAGAGGCAGGAGGATCTCTGTGAGTTCGAGGACAGCCTGGGCTACAGAGTGAGTTCCAGGACAGGCTCCAAAGCTACCACAGAGAAACCCTGTCTTGAAAAACCAAAAAAAAAAAAAAAAAAGACACAGCCTCTGAGACACCCCCACTCATCCCTCCTAACAGCCAACCCAGCCTTAGTACAACAGTTCCACCATAAAACAGGCTGCCAATCTCTGTGCTGGTTTTGCATCACTACAGTCTCTGGCCCAGTGACTTATGACCTGGAAGAAAGTAATGCTGGCAACCCAATCTGTCTGTAGGAAGGAAGAGCATCAACCACCAAGAGGAGGCAGCTTAACCTGTGGACATTTCCATTCAGATCCTGACTGCCTCCTGAGCACACTCCTCATCTCTTAACCCATGCTCAGAAATGGGGCAGCCCATCTTGAACAGACAGCTTCAAGTGAGCACTGCATTGATTGTTATGTTTGTTTTGGTTTTTTTGTTTGTTTTGGGGACTGGATTGAATCTGAGGCCCCATACATGCCTTCAAGCTTTATATAGCTGACACACACAGAAAGATATTTGTAATTCTTTGAGACAGGATCTCTTTATGTAACCCAGGCTGGACTCAAACTCTAGGTCCTTCTGCTTCAGCATCCCAAGAAACTGGGATCACAGCGTGTGGCATCATACCCCTAACTACATTAAGATCAAACCTATGCTCCTTGACAGGAATGGTGGATGGAGTACAGCTGTCAACTGAAAACTTAAGAGGTAGAAAAATGAGAAGCAGGAGTTAAAGGCTACCCTCAGCAAGTTTGAAACCAGACTAACTACACAATTCCCTGCCTCAGGGGGGGAAAAAAAGAAAAAAACAAAAATCTCCAAACAAATCCACCGTTGCTCTTTGCCCTGCCCTGATGAGACAGCCTTACCTTCTCTGCAACAGCTCTCCTAGGAGTCCATCTTGAAGTGACCCGCTATCTCTAAGCCCCACCCTCCTCCTATTTCCTCCATGTCCCTGTATGCACTGCCTTTCCTCGTCACCTCACTGTATATACCTCTTTCATGCACTAGTCTTCCACACTGTGTCCTGAAGAGCACTCAGGACAGACTCTATAAAAAGAAGCCAAACAAATGAACAAACAATCACTTCCAAGCCCAAACTGTGGTCTTTTCCTTAGCTTTCAAGCCTAGAACACATCCAAAGAAGTGGTGCAGACAGGTCAAGTTTTTAAGACTTCTGTAGACAGAGACCCCTGTCAGATCTCTAGGTGGCTGACTCTCCTCCTCCTCCAGACAGGATAGGTTGCCAGCATTACTTCCTTCCAGGTCAGAAACGAAAGAGGCAAAGCCTGCCACTGCTGTTCAAGTCCTTAGGGGCATGGGGATGGAAATAAATGTAGCATCAAGGCCAGGGTGACACATGACCACTGAGAGCTTGTTAGGCCTCCAGCAGGAGAGGGACAGGGTGAGGAGAGACAGAGCCAATCTGACCACATCAGGTTTCTCAACAAGCTCTTGGGGATGGTCTGACCCCAAGACCTTAAACATCTGAAAGAGATGCCAGGAGTCTCTGCAAATATTCCTGGTGACATAGGTGCTTGATCCATGAGGGTCTCAGAGAGCTACTCTCTCCAAACTACTTATTCCTCACACCCTGGGCAGTCCTCTCAGTTCCCACCCAAGGGATCTGACTGTCCACCCTCCATTTCTCACCTTGATGTAGATATCCAAAGCAGGGTGGACTCGGCGGGCAGCCAGCCAGATGGATATGGGGGTGGTGTAAGGGAAGGTGGCTGTCACCACATGGCTGGGTGCTGGAAAGGAGAATACCTTGAAGCCAAATTTCTGATAGAGGTGGATGAGCTCGGGTGAGGGTGACTCCTCTCCCTCACTCAGGATGCTGCCCACTGCACATCGGCACTTCTCATGAGGCACCTGTGGAGGCAGAGCATGGGATCAGTGCCAAGCAAAGGAAGGAGGCCTTCAGACCTAAGGCCCTCTGCTTTTGGCTAATTCAGCCCTGGAGGAACCACCTGCTCTGAAAAGCTACAGAGCCCTAGACACCAGAGTGGAGCTAACCATTTCCCTACCAAAACTAGCTATGGTTCCTGCCTATGCATTCTGCTGCAGGACTCCCATCCATTCCTTCAGCAAACATGCTAAGCTGCAAACATGACTCAGGAATCATGGTGAGAAAAAAAGAAAGAAAAAGACTTGGTCTCTACCCTCCAGGAGTCTTGGGGAGGGAAGAACCAAGAGATATCTGAGCTCTCACCCCCTTCACAGCACTGCCAAGGGACCTCCCATCTCCTGATGTACCTTCTATGGGTCCCAGTCTCAGATGGCCTCCAGCAGGATTGCAGATAGCCCATCCTGGGGTCTGGATCCAGCACAGTCCAATTAGTTTATCTCCCTCCTATCTCCCAGAGGAGCAAGCTTCACTAACAGAGAAATCATGGAAGCAAAGCAGCAGAACTGAGGAGTGAGAACAAAGAAAAAGCCTACAACAGCGTCTTCCTGGTTCCTCCATGAAAACAAGTGTGTGTGAGTGTACACAGTGGGACACATAGGAGAGGCCAGGGTGGGGAGTTAGCATTGGCAGTGGAGGGTCAGGATGTGAGGTAAAAATTGAAGAGGAATCTCCTCTAGGTTCACAGATAGGGAGAGACACTATCACAACAGCCTCTACATCTTTTCTACCTAAAACCTGCCCACTTTCCAAATCCCTTCCGGGTTATACTCCAGACGGTTGGTTCCTCCATGTCTCCCAGTCCCCGACGAATGTACTTTCTATTCTACTCCTCTCTCCCCTGATCCTCTCTCCTCTGGCTCCCATCAGCCAGAGGCAGTGAGTTTTGAGTTTTCAATACTTCCTAGGATTGACCCAAGGCCTAGAGGACCAGTGCTCACTTCTGGCAGCAGGTGGCAGTCTGTCCAACCTTCTGTTTCCCATGTCTATTTCCTGCCATCTATGTACCAGCCTTTGGCCTAGGCCCCCAGGGGAGGGTGTTCCTAAGTCCAGGACATTCACCACAGGTCTTGGGCCTTAAGACTGGTTTTCTTGATCTTCAGGCGCCCTTCAGTTCTCTCCCTCCAGAGCTCACCGACCCCTCCCCTCGACCTTCCTAGCCCTCTTTCTCAGCACCGTGAAGTTACTATTACACATCCGCTTCTACCGTCCCCACACCCTGTTGTGCCCTCTGACACCTGTCATCACCCCTGGGGACTTCCTTAGCCCTGTTCCATGTCCTCTACTCTGGCAACCTATCCCTGCCTTAGAATCACAACTTTCTGCTCCAGGCTCTGACCTCTGAGCAGACCCCAGAGGATTAGCCAACTCTCAAGGTTCTGACCTTGTTGCTTCCTTGAACCCAGTGGCAGCAAGCATTAACTTAGGAGTTTTAGTGACAGGCAGTATAACGCAATGTTCACAACCACGGCTACAGGAAGGCTGGCCAGGGAGTGAAACCTGAGCCATGTGATCCTAGCCAAGTCCCTTGGCTTCTCAGAGCACCAATTCCTTGATGTTTCCTTATGTGCTTTCAAATAAAAGATATAATTCACAAAGGCACTAATGAAATGCCCCATAACTGTTTTTGGTTATTCATAACAGTAACACTGTCCCAATAACAGCCCCAGGTCTAGAATGCCCATCCAACCTAATCTTTGAACATAGTCCTTCCTCACCCATCCTTCAGGTTCAATGCTCTCTTGGTGAACATTTCAGGGTGGCTTTGTAACATTTTTCCTCTCCTCAAATTTCTTCCAAAATTTGCTGTCTTATCCTTCTCAAGACTATTTAGCCTTAAGCCCCTCCCATTTCATTCAAACATGACATTACTGCAGTACCACGTCCTGTCTCTAGATGGTGCACCTGTACCACTTACACCCTAGGAGTTGCAATGGCCATATAGGCAGGAGGCTCCAGTAAGGCCAGGACTGACAGGCCAAGGGACAGGGAAGACACCTGACCCCAAAGAAAGCTATGCTAGGTGGAGGGGAGTAGATAAAAGAGAAAAAAGTGTTAACCCAAGTTAGAGGGAGAAACGGGAGGAAGATGGAAGGTCACATGTCACTCGAGCGCTAGCTCCTCATTATCCCTTGCCTGCTTTAATTTGGGTTCGAAGGTCTTTCCTGAGATCACTTCAGCAGCCCCCATGGAACTACCAACAAAACACTCTTTCGACCCCAAGATACTTGAAACATGACTAGAACCTCTCAATGACTCCCAGTTCACATCTATGGCGAAACTAAACTTCCAAGTCAAACAGGTCAGGCATGACACTGAACTCACCTCAGGACCAGGAATCAGCCGGGCCAGAACCTGGGCAGGCAGCCACTGGGTATGTGGCAGAGGGAGGGGCAGAACCCAGCTCTGGCCCAGCCCGCCTTGCCAACCTCTTCTCCTACCACACCCCCATATACACCCACATGTAGCTATTTGTAGCCAAACATGCCACGTCTTCCCATGCTGCCTCCCTTTGCGTAAGCTACTTCCTCTGCCTGAAATGTTCCTCTTCAACCCATCTGAGTCTTCTTTCTAGAAAACTCCAGTTCATCCTGCAAGACTCAGCTCAACTCCTCTCCTCAAAGCCTTTTGCTATTTTCCTGGAAGCTGCCCTTCCTCTTTGATCCCCAAATATACACAAATGGAACAGGTCTTCCACTACACTCTAATGAAGCCTTCTCATTTCTCCCACCACTCCAGCCTCAAGGCAGAAAAGTCTAGGATCCTACACAGAAGATTCCGTGGGCACGTTTAACAATGGTGCAAGCAGGCATACAACTGCTCACACAAATCCTACACCACAATCTAATTATCTGGAGGAAGGGAAATGCTCCTCTCCAAGGTAATACAGAGTAGTGTGGACAAAAGAGCTCTCACTGACTCGGTTTGTCTCTGTGTCTACCAATTCCACAAGTAAGGTCATTATCTGGTCCCTTTCCTATCCTGGACAGTGCTTAGAAGACATTGTAGGAGGTTCCCCAGTAGCAGAACCAGGTCACCAGCAAGGAGACAGGACAGGTACGAAGATACTGCAGGAAGTGGCAAAGCTGGTACAATAGCAGTGATCTAGCCCGAGACAAAACCCTGGGTCTCCTATTTGTCTACTTTTCCTACTCATATCAAATCTGTGTGGAGTACCTATGACCAGAGCAAGAGCTGGACCAGAACTGCACCAGCCTGGAACTAACCAGGGAGAGAGGGCAGAGGCAGAACCATCACCACTGAAGAAAGGAAAGTCCACCGAAGATCTACCATCAAATCCAAGACTATCATGCCTGGCAGTGATAGAGCACACCTTTAATCTCAGCACTTGAGGAGTCAGAGGTAGGTGGGTCTCTGTGAGTTCAAGGCCAGCCTGGTCTACAAAATGAGTTCTAGAACATCCAGGGCTGTTACACGGAGAAACTCTTGTCTCGAAAAAACAAAAGGAAGGAAGGAAGGAGGGGAGGAGGGAAGAAAGAAGGAAGGAAAGAAAAGGAGGGAGGGAGAGAAGAAGGAAGGAAGGAAGGAAGGAAGGAAAGGGAGGGAGGGAAGAAGGAAGGAAGGAAGAAAGAAAGGAAAGAAGAAAGAAAGAAAGAAAGAAAGAAAGAAAGAAAGAAAGAAAGAAAGAAAGAAAGAAAGAAAGAAAGAAAGAAAGAAAACAAGACTACCAAGGAAGAGACAAGGGCATGCCAGGCGTCAACGTATCTCCTTCAAGGTATACAGCCTCCGCAGTCTCAGTACTATGGGAAGAAAGCAATTGCTTATAACCTGAAGATGTCAGGGATGAGTCCGTCTTGATGCTCCCCCAATGTCCCTCCCAGAGAGGTCTCTGACAACCATTAGGCCACGGTGAAGAGGCATCTCAAGGGACTGCCTGGCTGAGACTTTGAAAGTATAGGGATAGGACAAGATTGGTATCTTTCAGGATTCAGAAAAGAGAAATTATGTCAGCTGGCACACTGGGTTGAGTTGGAAACGGCCAACCTCAAGCCCACAACCCATTCAGCCAATAGGGATATGTCTATCATCTGCCAGTAAGCCCAGAGGACTGCCCTGATCCCTTTCTTGGCAGCTCTCAATCACAGTACCAATGCAAGGGGAGACATAGAGACAGAGCCCTGTGCTTGCACTGGCACTCCCAGGGTTAAACTGTAGTAGTATCTGCCAATCACAGATGGATACCAGGCCTCCTTTACCCAGACTTGGTATACAGTCTACATACCAAGACGTGTGTTCAACTTATCTGTTATGTGAAGGAACATGGGGTAGTCACCAGCTGGAATATAGGCTAATGCCAACAACTAGGCCAGGAGACAGGACCCATACTTTAGGCTCTGAAGGAAGGAAGGAGTCATTGGGATGTCAACTCTAAAAGAGGTTCTGGAGCTTTCTGAGAGTTGCCATCTTTAGTTCCGTAGGAACCTTCTCTCCTACTCCCAGAAGCATACCTTACTGATAGCGGGCACCTGACAAGGCCTTACTACTTGCTGCTTTCCACAAGTAAGTTCATCAAATCCAAATAGCCTTGTATGGTCAGTTAGTACTATTCTCAACCTTGTTCCTGAGGCCCAGGATACCAAGTTACCCAACAAATGTCACACAGCAAGGCAGTGTTGGAGTCAAGGTTCAAACCTAAGCAGACAAGCTCTGGAATTGCAACATGCAACCCACAGTCACCTGGGAATTTGAGAATTCAGCCCTAGCTAGGAAGACACAACAGCCTTCCTTTCCCTGAACTGTCTCTCTTCAACTCAGGACACTCAGAGCAAGTGTTCCTGAAGATACACAAGGCTCGCACAGCCAGGGATGGTCTCAAATGTGCTATTAGGAGCCAGGCATTGGACCTTTGCCTCATCATTTTGATGCCACAAAAATAAAACCTGGGGTGGGGGGAGATGTATTTAGCATGAACAAGGCCCTGGGTTCAATATTCATCACCTGAGGCGGGAGGGCGCCTTTAATCCCATTTGATATATGAGACAGCCTCACTGGGAGGCCAAATGACTCACAACAGAATCACACACTAGGAAGCAACTAAAGCCTTGACTCAGACCTAGAAGGGTGAATCCAGAGTCCTCTCCTCTCACTTAACCTCCCAAGGGCAGCAAGGAGCTCATCTTGTGAGACCTTTCCTACACTTAACTTACTAAAGAGCAATAGTCTGGCTCCATCTGGCAGAAACCATCCATGGGTTAATTGGAGTAGAGACAGTCTGGGTCCTCAGGAAACAGCAGCTCAGCCCATATTTCCACCCTGTTGAAGAGATCAGCCCTGGGAAACTTTATCTCCTTATCCTTTCCCAGGCTCCATCTGACCTACATGCCTTAAGGTAGCCCTAAACCCCACTGTGTAGACCCAAGTCAGATCTCTTAAAACTCTCAGGCCATGCAGACTTGATGTTCTAGGCCTTGATTCTCAGTGGACTAATGGAAAGAGAAGGGCATAGTATTCTTTACGTCCAGAATGCCACCAGTTCCTCCATCACTCCATGCCTGGGAAAAGCATGGTGCTTGGCGGTGGATGTGAACAGCAGATCCCATTTGCCTAGGCCAGGTAAATGCAACTAGCTACCACGCCCTCTTGCCTCACCTAGGTACCATAATGGTAGACAGGCAGGTTGCATAAGCCCCAAACAGCAGAGGAGTAAATGTGGAAGGTATGACGGAGGTGGTGGACCGGGCAGACCTACAGGAATGGTGACAGTACCTAGCCACAAGGGCCTATTTGCAGGCCAGCGTGGTCAGGATCTCCCAGTTCATTTCCTTCCAACACAGAAGGCCCCCAGAGGATTTTTAATCCTAGCAGAAGAGGCTAAAGTCAATTTTCAACTCTCCAGGACCCAATGTAGAAAGAGGGCTGAGAGCAGTGCAGTTTTTCCCCAGCCAGGACCCTTCTCTAGCAAGAGGCAGTGTGAACCATTAGATATGGGAAGTAGGGCAGGTCTGTGACTGTGACCTCTGGAACTCACTCCTACTCGCAAGGTACCTTAAAGAGGAAATGGCCTGTACTTCATGAATGTTGGCCATTGATGAGAGAACAACACCTGTGATCCATATCAGGTCTTGTCCATTTTCTGACACATGTCACCTCCCTGCACCCCTTTAGCCCAACTACGTCAAGGCTTTCAGGGTCAGAGAATGTAATCCTTCCTCCTGCCTCACAGAAACCATCTGCTCAGACTCCATAGTTTCCTCCCATCCAAGACTCCAGGACTCAGGACTCAAGTAGCAAATGACATGAAAGACTTTACAGCAACTGCTACTGTCCTGACTTGGAGGTGTCTCTTCTTTTGCCATTTTCTAGACCCACACTAAAAGAGTAGAGCTTCTCTAAGCCTTTTTCAGGAATCATCTTCCCTCTTGCACAGCTTAGGCTAGGAATGGTCATGTCTAGAGAGCTGTCGGTTCATACTGCAGCAAGGCAAGCGATATCTAAAGCCAAATCTCTAACCTGGCTACTCACTGCTTTACTTAAGAGTCTGAATGAGTACCACTTCTTGCCACAATCACAGAGAAGCCCATCTGACTCCTGTTGTACTGTATCCGGAGATTGGAGGTGGTACGCCCAAGAGGTTGGCCTGTATCCTCTTTCCCTATATATACATCCATGATGGCCACTGCTAACAGAGGCAACCAGGAAGTGGCAAACAAGGATTCTCAGCTTTTCTAAGGAATAAACAGGGTCTCATCTCCAGCATCTTCAGGTTCCTGAACCCTCACCCCACGTGACTCTGCACCCTAAGTGCTCAGCAAACTCTATCTCTTCGTCTCCTATCATAGTGCCCCAGAGTCAAGTACAGGTCTGGTACAGAGCCAGGACTCAACTATGTATTGACTAAAACAAAAAAGATTAGTACCTCATTCAGGCTATCTTCATCCCAGTCTCCTCCCCGACCATACCACTGCACACCTATTATATTTACTATTACAGTACCAGAATGTAGACCAGGTAGTTAGACAGATGGCTGTGAACTCCTGAATCCTGGGAGTTCATGATTCTCTAGACCTTTTACAATCACCATTGGATAGACAATGTGTAGCTCAGGTGCACAGACAGAGCCCCAACTGTCCCTGTGCTACCCCAAATGCATGCCAAGATATAATCCTCTCATAAGTATTTTCCAGAGTGACCCAAGTTTCCAAGTTAGGGAAGTGGTCACTTTAACCTCTTCATTTATCTTGTAGGCTGACCAGACGTCCACTGCCAAGTCAGTCTGATCTCTCAGGTCATGTTCATGAGTGTTTCACCACCCTCTTCTGTTAAACATCTGTTGAGAACCATGTGCTGGGGTGAATGCCTCACTTATATCATTAAGTGAATCCTTGACAGCCTATCTATGAAGCAAGTATTTTATCAGGATGTTGCAGAGGAAAAAATGTTAGTTCAGAAAAGTTGTGATATGCCTAATATCGCACATCAAAAAAGTAATAAGATACGATCAGAACCCAGACTGCCAGCTCTCAGGCTGAACTCTCAGGACATGACTCCCTTGCACCAGCATCCAAGGTAGACTATGCTCAGCCATTCCTGAACAGAGCCACATGGCGGTTGATTGGAAGAAGCGGCCATGCCAGTAGAAAAGTACATTTTACTGGAGTTCTGCCTCATTTCCCAGACTGTGCCTCCAGTAATGACCCGTTACCCTCGACCGGTCTGGTCCTGGAACGAGCACCTCAACCAAAGAGGATTACGTGCTTCCACTGTCCCTGGGCCCCAGTGCTTCTGACTTCAGGTAACGCCATCTCCAGCCATGTGACTGCAAACCTCAGACAATGCTTCCTCATCCTTCAAATGGCCTGTGACACCTCTCACCTGACCAGCCCAATCTTTTCAGTGGCCTCCATGCCTCATCTTCTTCCCTCCTCCACCTACCCTCCAGTCAGCTTCCTAAAACAAAGGCAGTGAATGATGCCACACCCATCTTCCCAACTGCTACACCTCCTCCATTAGCCCAAGGAACCTTCTCACCGCCTTTCTCCACCTACCACATGTCCAAGAGGCCACACTTCCTATTCCTCCCATTCCTCCAGGCATTTGTTATTCCAGTTCTTACAGTTTCCTAAGTCAAGTAGGCCTGCATGGCAGAGGCAGATTCTGTGAGAAAGCCCATCTACCTCTTCTTTGAATCTTCCCCACATGCTTGAGGTACTCTTCCTATAACTCCCAAATCAAACTTCTAAAGACACTGAGTCCAGTGTCTTGCCGGCAAATCATCTGTATGGGGCTAACTACAGTTTACTGAGGGCAATGCCAGGTTTAATTCATTTCTAGAATGCAGGAGTGGAGCAGGCCCTGGCAGAGAGAGGAATCAGCACACCCTTGTTTCACCAAGTGTCCCAGTGAGGCCTTGTCTTTAGGCAGTACATAGGGCTTGTTCACTTGAGCTTTCCAGGCAAGGAATTCCAGGCTGAGGAGTCCAGACAAAAATCCCCCAGGGCTTAGTCTGGCATGGCTCAAAGATGGAGGCTAAAGAGCCCCTGACAGAGCTGCCAGCCCATGGAGCTATGGGCAGCACCACCCCATTGCACAGCAGGAAACTACATTGGCAAGCCCTGACTCACCGTAGGTTTTTGTACAGCCAGACGCCTACAGGGTACCAGTGATGCTGGGTTAGTCTTTGACCTCAGCATCCTGGGTATTTGGCTCCACCTGGCCCTCTCCCAACAGGGAGCTTGAGGTCTACAGAAAAGACATATCACGGGGCGGAAAAGCACCATGGTGACTAGAGAGGTAGGAGTCCGAGCCCCTTGCCCAGAAGCTGCCCTCTCACTCCTCAAGAGTCCACAGACCTGGCATGAGAGCTGAGGAATGGAAAGCAGACAAACAAGATTTAACCATTAGAGAATGGCCAGATGGCCTAAGAGCACTGGCCTCGAATGGAGATAGAAAAAGAAAGGACAGCAAGAGAGAGAGAATCAAGGTCAAGACAGAAGCTAGGGTCTACTGCACTCAGAAATTCTGAGCAGACATGAGCAAAGGGACGAAGCTGTGGGTAAATACAACAGTGGTCCAGGCTAAATATGGAAGAGCTTTAAGTTTAGAGAGAGAAGGTAACCATAGGACCAGCTCAGATTTCCCTGTCCTTTACTTGGAAACCCAAGTTCTCCTACCCCACCATGACCTGGCCCAGCTTTATCCAGGAGGCAGAAGCCCATGGAGGCTCCTTACCGTATGGGGGTTGTCATAGTAGACAGCGATGGAACGGAGCTTGGGAGAGATGCTGCAGCTCTCCGTGAAAAGCTGTCCTGTGTCACCATAGGACCCCACATGGAACTTGTAGGCCACAGTGATGTTACGGATTGGGGGTGATCCAGCACTCACTGTCACCCCAGTCAGCAGTCCTGAATACCCAGCAAAGGCCAGCAGCGTCAGCAGCAACAGCAGAGTCAGGCCCCCAATCAGGCCCAGTAGGAGGAGATCCGGCATGGTTCTGGGACTCCCTCTCAGCACCCCAAGGCAGCTGCAAAGGAGACAGAAGGGAGAGGAGGCTGGTAGCCTGCTCTAACCCTGCCTGCCAGCTGGTTCTGGCCCAACCTCAGCCATGCCTTAGTGCTCTGACCCAGGAGGGGGAGGAGCCATGAGTATTTACACACAGTGACCTAAAAGGGAGCTACAAATGACTGAAGCCACAAGCCTCTTTATTTCCTAATCATAGCCATTGACGCTCCTGGAACAGCTCTGCTTGGCACTAGCAGCCCTGCTCATACCTGAGGAAACTGAGTCATACTCCAGGCCCTGACCAGAGTGATTTCCCCCAAGCTAGGCTAGATACCACCAGGAGCTACCCCCCTCCTCTGCCTCTTCCTTCCTACAGTTGAGCCATACTGCCAGACCAGCATCAAGTCTCATGCACTACTTTGGGGGGGGGGGGCAGGCAGGGGGAACTGACAGCTGTGGGGTTCACACACTCATTAACAAACAGCATACCATGAGAAACAAAAACCCAGGGAAGAAAATTTCATGGGAAACACCTGTTTGTTTGTGGGCCCATTTGGTCTGTGGGGACCGGGATTTCAGGAGGACTAGAACCAGAGCTCCAGAACCAGAGGAGACAAGATCAAAACAGCCCGAGAGGCCAGAACAAAGTCCAACGTGGGTTTCCAAGACATGAACCACTAATCCTAACCAGCATCACTCCACATCTGCCAGCCCACAAAGACTAGAAACCAAGACACAGGAAGAAAAGGCTGCTAGAAGTGGAAACACAAAAGAGGGGAAAAGCAGGAGTTACTCCTAATTGAGAAGGAATAAACCCAGCACCAACACAGAAGCCTGTGTGAAACATCCTAGGCAGACTCTCAGAGAGGGCTTCATTTGAGCAGCCCAGGGATCACAGCACACAGAACCATAGTTAAAAACAAAGAGAAACATGAGCTTTACTAGGGAGACATTCCCACTCCAGTTATTTAAAACTCGTATTTAAGGGTCGTGAGATGGCTCAGCAGGTAAGGGAGGGCAGCTGCCCCCAAGCCTGACTACCTGAGTTCAAGCCCCAGAACCCACTCCCCTAAGTTATCCTGCACACCACCTACCCAGTGTTTTAAAGGGCCGAGGAGGTGGCCCAGCAGTTAACAACACTGGCTGCTCCTCCAGAGGACTCAGGTTCAATTCCCAGCACCCACATGATGGCTAACAACTGTCTGTAACTACAGTTCCAGGGGACCCAACACCCTCGTCTAGTCTCCACAGGCATCAGGCATGCAAGTGGTACACAGACATATATATGCAGGCAAAATATCCATACACATAAGAAACTAAGTTTAAAAAAATCCCATTCAGCCAGGCGGTGGTGGCGCACACCTTTAATCCCAGGACTCGGGAGGCAGAGCCAGGCAGATCTCTGTGAGTTCGAGGCCAGCCTGGTCTACAGAGCGAGATCCAGGACAGGCGCCAAAACTACACAGAGAAACCCTGTGGGGGAGGGGGGGTCCTATTTAAAAAGTAAATGGTTTTAGAGCTGAAAAAGCAATGCTACAGCCCTATAGAAAACTTAGCTCCATGGGCTTGTTCCCTGAAGATTCTAAGTGGAAGACATGCTAAAATCTGTTCCTGGCATTAATGAGCAGACAGAACTGGCCTTACAAAGAAGCCAAGAATATTTCTGAACTCTGGTGCCAGGACACTGAGATGCCTCCCACTGGTCTCCTCGTGCCTTCTGTACTCCTGCCTGTGAGCTTCATTATCTCTTCTGTTTGCACTCTCTGCTCTACTCATCCTGCCTCCAGTTTGCTTCATTCTTCTTTTCTGATAATACGATAACAACTCTCGCACCCAGTACTTAATATATGCTAGGCGCTGACTCAGTGTTGAAATCCAGCTACTTCACTAATCCTCCCAAGAATCCAATAAGGTAGGTGCACATCAGGAACCAAGTGGCTGGAGGTCAAGATGCCTGTCCAAGGTCACACAGGTATTACACAGAGCCACCTGGATCCAAACACAAAAAGCCTGACTCCCGTCCATTGCCAGTTTTTCTCTCCTCTGGCTTCCAGAAAGGCATTTCATCCACGTTGGACCTTGCTGATCTCAAGGCTTCTAGCTCTCAGCATCTAGGCCACAGCCTGCCTTGGGAGGGACAGGCATTGCTACACACTTCTGTTGTAAGGGAACTTAGCTCCCAACCTTCCTCTTCCTCCCACTTCCCAAACTGATCAGAAAAGGGGGGGATATATTTCTGCCCACTCCCACAGCTTTAGTCAGCCTAGGAAGGAGAAGCAAGGCAAATTTCCCCACACCCCGTAGAGAAAGGCGAGGGCAGGGGATGAGGAGGAGGCTCACTCACCTAAAAAGCCAGGCTCACTTTTAGCAACTCATAGCATCCAGTACAGCAGGGCTCCAGTACTCCGGCGCTGGGGTGGGGAGGAGGGGGAGAGAGGAACAGTCACCTCAGCCCTGGACACAGGCAGCGAGCAAAGCGGGGCACCAGGCCCGGAGCAACCCCTTAGCAGTGAAAGCCCACTGGACGGGACCGAACACACGCGAGCCGACCCCACCCTCCGACCCCGCGCGGAAATCAGGCCAAATCCAGCCTCACAACGTCAGATCTGGGATCTTCACCGGGCCCAACTCCCCCACTTGGAGTCAGCGCAGTCGCTGCTGCTGCCCTTGGGCAGTGCGTGCCCTCTCCTGGGCCTCAGTTTCCACTAACGTCAGAGTTCCGGGGCAGATGCCTTCCTTGGCCCGAAAGCGTCGGAGCTGTGGCTCGACGCAGGCAGGCTTCCTGAGGCCGCTCACGTGCGCTCTGCGGAGGGCCGGGCCCTTAAAGGGACCTGCGCCAGCAAACTTGGGTGCTAGGAGCCAGGGAGGGCGCCGCTCCGCGCCCTCGGCTTCTAGCCCCGGCTCGCCTCACGGCCTCGCGCCCCTCTGCAACTTCTGAGACGCTATGAAGTTTGTAGTGGAGACGAGGCGCGCGGCCCCAGGAAGCGGAGCTGAAAGGTGAGCCCCGCCCGTTCCCCCCGCAGTGCCACTGACCCGGGGCGTGCCCGCACCCCAGGCCGAGGCGGCGGGCCGTACCGAGAGATCAGCACCGCCTCACCCTCGCTTCCAGGCCCAGGAAGACGGCCCTGCCGGCTGTGGGCCAGATGCGCTTGCAGAGGGCGGCTCCGGCCGCGGGGCCCAGGCGGGAGGGGATGAGGGGAGCCCCGGCCGACACCCCGACGGGAACGCCTCGCCTCCGGCCCCGCCCTCACCTCAGCAGCGGCCCCGCGGACGCGGACGGGCGCCGGGGCAGGCGAGGGTTCGGGCGCGGAGCTTGCGCGCGCTTGCCTCTCCCGCTCGCTCCGCCCCTCCCGCGGCGGGACGTGGCCGTGGCTGTGGGCGCGTGCGCTCCAGACTCGGAGGGCGGAGGCCTGCCCCGCCCCGTCTCCTTGGTAACGTGCACGCCTCCTTCCCCCCCACCCCCACCCCCTTCCCATCCACACCTGGCTGGGACAGCAGTGCCCACGACGCACATTCCTACTTCCAACAAACCAGAACTCCTCCTGAAGGTGACCAAGCAACAACCAGTACCCTAAGGTATCCGGGCTGACGGGGAGGGAGGGGAAGCGCAGCGGCGACCGCTGGCGCCAAGCACCGGCAAAGTCAGCCGGTGTTCCTGCCCTAGAGGCCCAGGAAGTCAGGACAGGACTGGATAGTGTTGGTGCATTTTCGGGAGGATCAGCCCAGCAATGTCGGCCTCTTAACAATTGTACCATTCTTACTCTTCCCACCTTCTCTCACTGAGGCTTCATGAAAGCCCTGCGAACCCAGCAGGGGCGGGCCGCTTGCTCAGGTTCTACATCTGAGGAAGCTGAATCCCAGCCCGAGCTAACCAAAGAAGCTCTGAACAACCTCTGGAGAGTGCAAACATCAGTGTCTCCACTCACCTACCCATCAGCTCTTTGGTGAGCATAGGAGTGACCATTCCTCCATCCAACATTTATTAAGTGCCATGTCCTATCAGGACAGCTTCAGGAGCTGAAAACAGCGAACCAAATGAAAGCCCTGGCCTCCAGAAGTTCTCTCCAGTGAATGCCTTTCTCCCAAGCTTCTACTTCAGTGGCCTGGATGTGGCACTTGGGAGGTCTACTGGTTTAATATAACATAGGTTACTCCCAAGCTAAGTGCAAGCTCCTTCAGGACAGGTTCAATCTTGCTCTAGTCTCTGATGACCTATAAACCTCAAATCACCGCGCTAAGGACTCCTCCTGAGATGCCCAGATTTATGGTGGAGGTGAGGAAGGTAACTTCGCTTGTAAACGTGGCTGGTCATAAATTTTGCTGCAAGACAGGCTGGTCCAAGGACTATCCTGGTGCTTCTGACAAGGTTGTTATTTGGAAAGATGATCACCCCAAAGAGTATATCAGAAAGATGACTGTGGAAAAAGTCAGCAGCCACGTGGTAACATGTGATCTTGAACCTCATCCACAAAGTCTGTCCCAGTGCACTGGACAGTTTGGCAGAGTGGGCAGCTGGCTACTGAAAAGTCTTCAGGGTAGGGCCAGCAAGAAGGTCATTCATTATTGCTCTTTTACCTGTGAACATCAAACATGGGCAACGATTGGCTGGTTTGGGCAGGTGGACTATACACTAGATGTGGTTCTTGAGACACAAGAAGGGTGCATGGCCTTTGCCTTCAGGGCACATGGTTAATTCTGTTTCTTGGAAGTTGATTAGGCTCTCAGGAAATCATTGTCAGGAGACAACCTTTCCTCATCTTGTTCTCTCTGCTCACTTCCTTTAGCCTAGTTGGGAGCTCCAGAACCTAGTATGGGAGTTCCACATGTGCCTTAGGAGTTTGAGCACGGTATTGTAGGAGAGTTGGCCTGCAACTGGAGATCAGCCCACCAGGCTTCATCTCCTAGAGTTTCCAACACTGCGCACTATCCAGTGGCCACTAGGGGGCAGCAGACTCATTTGCAAGGCCCTTTCTACACTCCTAACAGGTCTGAGATCCACTCACCTTCTCCCAGTTGTCTCTCAATAGCACATATTCCATTATTGTAAGCCCAGACTTGCCCTTCCTCTTTCCCAGGAATCACCAACTGAGGCTCTTTAGTTCTGTGTAAATTGCCAGAGAATATCTCCCCAGGGCTCCTCCTCCCCACCTCTTCCATTCCAAAACCTGTTAGAGCCCCTCTAACTCAGCCAGAGGATATTCATGCAGTGTAAAATGCTTGCCACAACTGCCAACCCCACTGTCTGAGGGACTGAAGCTGGTTTAGACCCCAGCCACTCAGCCTAGAAAGGGCTGCCTCTGCAGGATGTCCCCACAGCTGAGGACTAACTAGTTTCAGCAACTCCAAGTCAGCTTCATTGTTCTACCAAGAGCCAGGAAATGCAGCAAGAGCACTCAACCCTCTTCAGGTGTGTGTGTGTGGGGGGGGTGCCCCCACCTTTTACAGGGTTCCTAAGAGGAGGAGAGAGGCATAAGGAATTAGTAGATAGAAAGACAGCAGAGATGGGACAGACAGAAACACAGGATGGCTTGGGAGAGACCTGGGTCAAAATCCACCGGCTCCTTCTGTCTCTTCAAAAAGGCTTTTATAACAATGCCAAGGGGCAGGGCAAAAGCCTTCCCCTTGCTAGATCAAAGCATACCGCACACCCAAGTGCAGACCCTTCCAAACACCTGGTAACCACATACATGGTCAACCCATCCCCTTATGCAGCCCTGCTGGGTAAAACAAGCTCAGAACTCACTAGGAAACCTCTGTGGGCTCCCACGGTTCCCTCCTCTTAATTTTTTGTGTTTTTTGTTTTTTGAGACAGGGTTTCTCTGTAGCTTTGGAGCCTGTCCTGGACTAGCTCTGTAGACCAGGCTGGCCTCGAACTCACAGAGATCCACCTGCCTCTGCCTCCCGAGTGCTGGGATTAAAGGCCTGTGCTACCACTGCCCAGCTCCTCTTAATATTTTAAAGAGCCCCTTAGGCCCCTCAGATAGACTGTGTCTGCCTTAGGTTGTCTTCTTCAGTTAAACAAACCTTACCCATCATGGAGATACACTTTCCATCAAGCATACTTTTGTCTTAGGTTGGCGCTAACAAGAAGAACGTTGCCTGTCCCTGACTACCAGCCTCTGGCAAGAAAGGATACAGAGTCTAACCCTGACTCAGGTTCCTACTAAGAGCTTGCAAGTAGTTTGCCGCATCCCCCAGTAAAGGAGTAGAGGATGACCAAGATGGAATGTTCCTTTTTGAATGGGTCTTAAGACATCTATAACAGCCTTAGCTGTGCCAAGCCCTTTTTAAAACCAATAAACACTTGATGCAAACCTCATCAAATAAACTGCATCAAACTTAAAGATTCCCTTAGCTTCACCAAACCCTGGTTCATTAATATCAACATAATTCTAGTATGAACATTACTATACATATTTACAACTAGCATAACTATTTACTATACATATTTATACTTCTTACAAACTTAGATTCAAAAGCAAACTCTATAGGATTACCTTGTAAACTTTAGCAAACATCTAAAACAGATCTCTTAACAGAACTATTTACATTTTCTTCCAACAAGACAGAGTATATGAATTGAGAATCACCACAGTTAAAAATTGCAGGTGAACTCAAAGCTGCTTCATTTGTGAAGTTCACAGTCAGTTTTGATAACATCATTAAATGTGGGATGACTCATCCCCAGTGGGCTTGAGGCCCGGCCAAGTAAAAAAGATACTTTCTGAGAGCCAACCTGGGTCTGCCTAAGGGCCTTAGCAACAGCAGCTGAAACATCATCTGGAGATGACCTGGACCAATGAGAGACAGCCATGTCACACCAGCAGATGCACATTCATCAAACCTCCCCCCCAGGGAGGGGTGGAGAGTATATAAGGCTTGCCTCTAACTGAATAAACTGAGCTTGTTGTTTCAACATTCTCCCAGAGTCTGTGTCATTGACTCTGTGCCTACTTGGCCCCCTCCCCCAAAAGGAACAGCAGCTAGGACCCTGCTACATCTGGTGCTGAAACCCGGGAAATTTGGTACTTGAACAGGGTCTGTTTGTCTCCCTTTACTCATGTGCGGCACTGGTTGAGCAGTGTATTTCGGTGAGTAGGCCCCTCTACGTTGTGCGATTTCTGTCTCTTTAGCAGGTAAATGCTGGGACCCCCACTTTCTTGTTTTTGTTTGTCTTGTCTGTGAGTCTGTCTGTACAGTAGGGTGGCACATACTTTTGTTTAAGCTTGCCTGCTGTTTCCATATAAGGGCTGGACCCTCAGGAAACAGAGCCACAGTCACTGTTGTTTATCCCACCTTCTAACACTATGGGAAATTTCCTCCCTCACCATAAAGAGGCCCCTATTGGAGCCCTTAAGTCCCTCCTAACAAGCCAGGGGCTCTGGGCTACAACATCAGAACTAGAAAGGTTTTGGGTGGAGGCTGTGGAGCTTGCTCCATGGATCTCTTGAGAGAACATATGGGAACCTGATCTTTGGATGAGAGTTCTGTTCCTGGCCAGAAAAAAGGAAGTGGCCTCAGGAGTAACCCTCTAATTGTTTTTCATGCCCATTTTGTTGGCTATAATCGCTGGCTTAAAGTCCTCCTCTACTGAGGAGGTCATTAAGACCCACAACAAGCACTGTCAGAAACAATGTGACACCAACTTATCTATCGCCTTCATTCCTTCCATGACTAATATTTCCTCTGCCTCTGCTGGCAAGGAGATGGATGGGAATAGGCATAAAGGAAAGGAAAAGGATGGAAAGAGAGAGGAAAGGATCACAGCAGCATCTAAGCCTATACTGGCAGCCCCTCTCTCTGCTTCCCCCATGCCTTGAGCAGCTACCCCTCCCCACCTCGGTATCCACAGAGTGATTTGCCTTGATGTCTGCCTGCCGAGAGAGCTGCTCTGCATACCTCCCAGCCTATTCCACCTATGGTGCCACACATGCCCACCATGGTGTTTCCAGTTAATGTGGGCCCCAATGCGGCTAACCAGTCATGGATACCTACCTCTCTTGCAGATCTGTCTTTGGTCCATAAGGCTGCTAATGAATCAGGTCCTGACTCACCATATTTTGAGCAAGTCCTACGGCAATGGGAAATGCATTTACAGACTTATTATGACTGGCACCATTTGATGAAGGCTGTGTTGGAGCCTGTGGTCTTCCTTAACTGGCAAGCTGCCTGTGATGACCAGGCCGAGGCTCAGGCTCATTTTTAATATACAGTACAATATTGCTGTTTCTCTTGAGATGTTCAT